GCCTGAGCTTCTGGCTTGACTGCTGACTCTGACCTGTCACCAACTGTGTGACTTTGAACCATCTCTCACTTTCTCTGAGGAGCGTTTTTCTGGTGGGTAGTTTGCAGCAACCTGCACGGCGATGTTCAGGATGTGAAGGAGGGGCCGCACAAATGAAAATTCTATACAAGAAATATGAATTTAGAAGGCATTGGGGGCCCAGGTGGAACCTCTTTCCTGAAGAGGCACACTGAGTCCTGGCCTTGTCTGCTTTTTATTCAGTTTTAGATACACATCTTGCCCTCAGTAAAGCACAGGAAACAGGTAGCAGACAGACAGTCTCAAAGGTCAGTAAAGATCAGTAAAGTCCATTAAACATTTACTTGGAGGCTAACAGGTCAGGAAATTGCTTCAAGCCATCGCTATCTCAACACGAACAATCGGTGCCTAGCATAAGCCCTGCCAACGCTCAACGTCCTTTGGCCTCCCGCGTTCCTTGGTGCACGCTCATGACAGTGTTGGCATGCAGTGGCTCCCCACAGTAGTTCATGGGATCAGGTCTGGTTAAATGAGCTAATGACTGAGTCCTCCTAGCAGGTATGGGGCTTGCTCCTGCCAGCACATACGCAGCATAGACACAGCGGCCCTATGGGGACCTGGACTCACACTCAGTCAATGTGCTCATGGAAACTAACTACTGGCCCTCATCACCGGAGGAGGTTGGGCTTCAGCTCAGCTTATCAATTGTCTGCCTCCATCAGGAATTTTTTTATTCTGTAATTGCAACTCAGCCTTGGCCTTGATACATCCAAAAAGAAGAAAAAGAGTATAAGGACATCTCTCGTCACTCTAACCAAAATCTGGATTAGGATGCCCTGCGTTTCAGTGACTTCCATCTGGCCTTGTGAAGCACCTGTGACAATGACCCGCAGCTGCACCTGTGGGTCCTTCCTCCCATAGAGCCCATGGCGCCCATCCCAGGGCACTTTATGTCACCTGCCCTTAGCGGACACCCACAGCTGTTGATTCACCAAGCACTCTTAAACGTGCTCCCCCCAGGTGCTGAGTTTGGTGAAAAGAACTCAAAGGAGAATGCTTTTACCTAAAGTTGTATCACCAGGTCTTCTTAACAAACAATAGACTAAAATAATCAAAGTCGTTATCAGAGTTTGCCTTGCAAAGGTCTGTGCATACATGGGTCTCTCAAAGTGTGGTCCCCAGGCAGCAGCAGCAGCATCACCTGGGAACTTGTCAGGAACGCAGACTCTCAGGCCAGGCCCAGATCTGCCAGGTCAGAAATCCTGGCAGCAGGGCCCCGCATGCTGCCCGTGTTTCAGATACCAAATTCTCTGGGTGATTCTGACCCTAATCCAGCCTGATACCCCCTGCACTTTACAAACAGAGAGGTACAGAAAGGTCCATAGGATAATTTGAAGTTTTCCAGGTGATCTGTGACTAAGACTAGAGTAGAATGGAAAAGTGCCAGTTCCCAGAAAACTGAGAGTTTAGCTTCTGGTCAAAGCCTCTTCATCTCTGGCAACTACAAACCTTCCTATGAGCAAATCATGCAAACAAGACCTGCAGTGCATGCCCAGCAACCCATTGGCCTTGCATCATCAGTAGTAAGACTCTCCTCAAGGCCTCCTCAACCTCTCTTCCAGTCGGAAGCCCGCTCTCTTAAAAAACCCTCAGTTGAGTGCCCTTAAATCTGCAGTGCTTTTAACCCATCTACTTAGAAATGTCTTCATTGTTGTGAATCATCCTTGTTCTTTTTACTAAGGACAACAACTAGTCTGCTTTGAAATAACATTGACTAAGGGTGGAAATGTAATCATCTATGTTTCTCTTTGAAAAGATGACTAATGGGCATTTATGGGTCAGTTTTAAGTTGCAAAACTTGACATGCCAAGAGACAGGCATTTATGTCTAACAAAAGTGAGATCTTTGAAACCTGGTCTGATTCAAGCCCTGCTTTTTAAAAGTAGTAGAAGTCGAGGGAGTAGAATCTGACTTAAATTAACTGAAAATGATTTAGCTTGCCACTAATTTATGGCAGTTACTTTCAGATGAAGGCATTTCATAGAGAAGCCTTGTCTTTCTTGGTAATTAAAACTGAAGAAAGAGTAATTTTACAAATTTCCATAACCCTAATTTTATATATTTTCTATTATCCTATATAATAAAAGAGAAAAATGGTAATTGGCGTACGACGATACCCTTTTCATTGGCTAATCAGGGCTATATGCAAATTAACTGCCAACTCAGATGGCAGTTAACTGCCAACAAGATGGGGGTTAATTTGCATATGTAGGCACAATGCAGGGAGGTGAAAGGGAAAGCAGGAAGAAGCC